CCCCCCCCCCCCCCCCACGAATGGAACAGGTGTCGTTGACTTCAGGCACGCCACCGAAATATGTGTCAAGGTCGCTGGCGGCACTCACGCTCGCTCTCTCTCTCCCTCTCTCGCACTCTCTTTGTATTTATCTATCTTTATCCATCTCTTCTCTTTTGTGTACGTGCTAAAAGGCAGCAGACTTACGAACTTGAAGCAAAAAGTTGATCAGACTTTTGGGAATATCTGTGCCCCCATGTAAGAGAGGAACAATTAAATGCACATTACGCAAGTGGAGTTGGAGCATAAACTCCAACAAAAGGGAACATAAATTAAGAGAAAAGACAAAAACTGAAATAACTGTTGTTGTGACCTTGATTTTGACACTGGCAGGCGGGTCTGTAAGCGTTACAGCTGCTGCGCTGCCATGGCTGTTCTGTTTACTGCTGTTCCCATTCTACAGGAGGCTGCTGCTACTCTACACTATCCATTCCAGGAACCAATCTACATTCTGCAGCTCCTAGAACTGTTCTCCCCATTGTTGGAACACTTTTTAATCCTTAAGCCAGTACTCGAACCACTCTCTACTCCCGTTCCCACTTTCTTGTAGGAACTCTACACTTCTGATTCCAGTTCTAGAACCACTCTACACTCTTGATCCCTGCTCCTAGCTCCTAACAAATATTCAATACTGCAACCACTCTACACTCCTGTTCCCACTTTCCTCACTCCTGATCATCTCACTCTTTGCACTCTTAACCCACTCAAACTTTTGGCATTAACCGCAAAAGTTCAGCAGCAAGCCTAAAAAGCGCCATAGAAATTAAACACCTTTAAAGCTCTATTCCAATACAACTATGCTCTCTGCAGCTCTGCTCTCTGCCGCTGCCTGTGTGTGTGTGTGCAAACAATGTTTAATGTACAATTTTTTGTTTAATACTTGAGGCATGGGGCGGCCGCAGTCGCCGTCATTCACCGCACAGCCGCAACGGAGTGTGCACGCGTCAACAGAGCAGAGCAGAGAGCAGAGCAAAGAGCAGATCAGCAAAAGGCACTCAACAGTTGCGTTCAATTTGGCTCAGCCCCCCGACTATCATTACAATATTTCCCAGTATCCGCCAAGAGCTACGAATCGAAATCCGAGTTTCAAACCGAACAAGTTTTCCCAGTGAATGCGAAAATTAATCATTTCGAAAAAATTCAAGATTCAAGTTGTGGCCCAAAGACTTCCGAAAACTAGTTGAAAATTTGTCGAAATTCAAAATTGTTTGCATTGCCCGCGCAAAAAAAAAACCCCAGCAAGTGACACACTTCAAAGAGTTACAAATAATTGTAAAATAACGAACGGAATAACCGCTGCAAAGATAACCTTCAAAAAAGAAGACCAATAAATAAACTAAAAATAACTTTACAAAACAAACTCAAAGTAGACACGGCACAAAAGTGAGGCAGAGACAAGACGAACGAGTGGAAGGAAGCAAAGTCTTACTCTAATTGAAATTCGATCGAGTGGAACTACCCCGCCAAAACCACCCACCCACCCACACACGTGTGTGCAGTCATCTGCCATCTCCCTTACGCTCGTTACGGTCAACCATGGATGCGCCCAAGCAGGTAAATGACATATTTATGGCCCCTCCGCAACACCCACAAAAATCATTCAATTCAGCTTCAACGTCGTTGTAGTTGCTGCAACTGCCACAACAACAACAACAACAACAAGTTAACTTGCCTAAAAGAGACAACCAAAAAAAGGCAGCAACAGCGGCAGCAAATGTGCGTGACAAGTCGGTCTCTCTTTTAACCACCACCAACCAACCAGCCTCGGCATACACTTTCGGGATCGTAGATTATTTTTATGATATATTTCGCGAAACGGAAAAGCCCATGAAACTGTATCCATGGGCCAAAAACATGAAGAGAAGACTTGTTTTGGCGAAGATATTTTATAAATGTATTCCATCTAGAGGGGGTAATGTCAATGAAATTTCTGCAAAAAACAAGGCAAGCAAATCTCTATTATTCCTATGCAATTAATTCTCTTGATAAACACATTTCCCGCATCCTTCCACTCCAAGTCAAAGTACCCCCCGCAGACCAAGTGCAAAATGTACACAAAAAAAAAACATACAGCACACATTTTGCCACGCCCCTTGGCCCATTAAAACCCGAAACGTGTTTACAACTTGTAGTTGTTGTTGCTGTGCCTCCTTTATGCTGTTTGATGTGTCGTACGACGACTTTGCCAATTGAAAATTTTCCCAACTCCAACTCCAACTCCAACCCCAACCACATAATCATTCATCATAATCATCGCCTACCCCCAGTGACACACAGCACCACTTTTTTGTTGTTTACCCACGTCTTAAGGCACTGTGGAGACAGTCAGTCAGATTGATCAACAAATGTATTGGAATTTATTGCTGAAATCGCAATTTTCCTTTGATATGCCACAACAAAAAGGAAACAAACAAAACACAAACAGATTTGGTCGCATTTTGATTGCAGCAATGCAGCGAATTTTAGACAGGAGAATAGTTCAACAGATTTGTGTGTTGGGCAGATAATTAGAGTAGAAAAATAGTTCCCATAATTAATTTAGGGGACTGCAGCTACATTTATGGTAAAAATAAGCGCCTAACCACCAGCAGATTATTTTAAACAAAATTCAAACGCCCAGCCAACTTTTATGCCTGACCAAAAAAAAACCCCAAAACTTTGTTCTTTTGTGGAGCTAAAAGTTATTGCACTTTGTGCAGCTTTAAACGTGCCAAAGAATTAACACACAAACAGCTACAAAATTGCATTCGGTTATTAAAACTGTTTGAAGGAACACACACACAATTTTTGGTGTATTTTGTTCATTCCGGCGGCAGCTTTCAATGCAAACTTTAATTGCATTCAATTTGGGTTTCTGCCGTTTGATAACCTTGTGCGCGGTATAAAAAGGCTAAAGTAAATGCTAAATGTTGGCCAATTGCTGTGCAGGCAAGGCAGGCAATTTTCTATCAGTTTCAGTTCGGAGTTTAATTGCAAATTGGATGAAGTTTCATTCATGGGAAAATGTTTGCCGGGGGAGCATAAAGACGCTTTTAGTGCGACACGTGTCAGCCAGAAGTCGAAGCTCAATCAAGTTGATCGCATTTCCAGACCCAACCAGACAGTTCTCCCTTCACTTTGTCGAGCTGGCACTTGAGATTTGACAATATCACACACGACAGCCGACAGCCGACAGCAGCGACAAAAAAACACCCACGAGCTGCCAAGTCTCAGAAGCTGCAGAGTAAAAATGGGGAAGCAGCCGAAAATGAAGCCTCCAATTTGGTAGCGAATCCAACTCAAATTTATTATTGTGTAAGACGATACACAAATAAACATTCTGAAGAGGCTGGCTGGCTCCTTTTTTGTGCGGCCTGATCTTTAAATCGGATAATGACTGGAGACGCAAACGGATTTGGAATTGGCTTTTCACTTTCGAAAACAAAAAAAAATAACAATTAAAATATCATTTGAGGAAGGAAGAAGATTCACTGCAAATGCGGAAAAACATGTTTTCACAGCAAATAAATTAAGGAAAAAATCCAAACTAAAGGGCAAATGTGGCAGAATGATGCAAATAAAACCCCTCACACTTTGAATGTTCAAAGCAGTCTTTAAGCCTTTCTAATTGGATGCCATTCATGGGACATCTCTCTGTAGAACATGCCACACACGACACACGTGTGCCGCCAAGAATGTATTCCCGTTCGATCGGATTTGTATGTGCATATTTATGGGGGAGCAATAATGAAACGCAAAGCTAAGAGCCTAAAAATGCTTACACGTGCCAGCGATGAGTGGTTCTGCCGCTCCCTCATTAATGCGCCAAATGTGTTAACTAATTAATAATAGAAATTAAGAATTTTGCTACGAACTTCAAGCAAAAACAAAGCCCCAGCAAAATTGATATTAATTACAAGTTCATTGTGTGCCGAGGAGGAGGAGGAGGAGCTGACTTTTTTATGGACCATCGCAGCAGCCAATTTGGCACCAAGGCATGACTCAAAATTGGTCGGCGAACTCCGCTTTGATCAAGATTCGCAGACCAGCAAAAAGGTTTCGTTTCACTGCCGATGAGCTAATCGTGCGATTTGGTGACCTGACCCAGGCCTGGGATCTGCACTGATTTATTCCAAGAATTTCCAATGAGTGTGGCCTGCCCAAATTGCATGCACATCATCGCCCGCTGCTTGTGCAATGCTCCGCGCCACACCCGTGCACCCTTTCAAACAAAGTTCAGAGCATGCAATTCTCAGACTTGACTTCTTGGCTGTTTAATAAAACAAAAAAAAAAACCGTTTTCGTAAGCCACTTTTGGCCATGTGAATGCTGAATGCTGAATGCTGCCGTTGGCGAACAACAGCAGCGACGTGTGACGGCTTACACTGCGGCAAAAAGCGAGCAGATAACGGAACAAAAGGCCATAGACAGATAAGAAAACAGCAGCCAGAGCGGGGTGACTATAGTGTGACCAAGGTATTTATCAGCCAGGATACCACAATTGTATGCCCTAATTTCTCTCACTGCAAAAGGCGCTAAAAAAAAGGCAGAGATTTGTGTGTGTGCTTTTTGTTGTTTAGTTGGCCCGCACTTGAGGTTGAGTTATTACACGGGTTTCTGTCTCCATCTCACCTGCGCCTCCACACACCCCACACTCTCCCGCCCTCTCTTCCGTTGTTGTTGTTGTTGTCTCTCTTTTATGTGTGTTCGCCGCCACAGTCACAGTCTGCCCTCCTCCGGCACCGCTGCGCTGTCGCTGTCGCTGTCACTGCCGCTGCCCGCTCCTCCCTCGCTCATTTGTTTGCTTTTCTGTTATGAAACGGAAATTGTGTCAAGGTCAAATTTGCATGAACACGCTAAGCAGCAAGTGCTGGGCAAGGGGGGAGGACAGACAGACACCGCTCAGCTGTTCTATGAGAGAGCGAGAGAGAGCGCTGTGCAAAAAAGTTAACCTCGCTTTAGTGCTATTTATTTTGTTGTTTTATTCTCCACCCATGATATTCCAATCAGAGAAACTGTCAAAGTAAATGGAAATTAATGGACAAGTGGGAGAAAACTAAGCAAATATCTCTAAATGAGAGATATGTACATAGAGCGCGGGGAGGTGAGTGAGTTTTACATGTAATATTTACCCCCCCACCGGCCAAAAGTTGGACTCCGATCGAGGCGGGCATTTCCCATGTCAAGCTTAATGACATGTCGTTTTTTTTTTAAGTTTTCTGTTGACTTTTTGTTTTATATTTAACCAGACGAATGTGTGAATAATTATGCAAGTGCACTGAGCGGGGGGGGGGGGGGAGCCTAACCATTAATTAGCTAATGAAAAGTAAATGATAATTAAAACAGCTAACGAATTGATGTAACAGCCAAGATAAGAAGAGTTGTAAAGAGACACTTAAAAACAACCAAATTAAATAAACCAAAAAAAAAACCAATTGAAAATGAGTTAAGTAAGCAATAAATGCTTGAGCTTTGATGAATGTTTTAGGCTCCATTTAGTAATGGAATTCAATTGAAATGTTTGAGTAAGAAATCTGTGTAAGACAGAAACAGACTTCCTCGTTGTTCAGGGTTTTCCAAGGAAAACACTCTTGCCGCAGTGATGCTGCACTTACTGGAGTGCACTCAGCATACGAAATTATGCAATGAACGACAAGAACTTCCTCATGTTCAAGTGAAATCATTCTCTAACTATTCGATATCTATGCAACGATGCATCATCATCATCATCTTCATCCTCTTTTGCCTTTCACAAAATTCCCGGATGATGAACAGAACAGCGCATAAATAACCACAAATGATGAAATCTTTAACAAATGATACTCTTGTCTTATTAATAATCTCTGAACCCCATACCCTGAGTGTGTGTTGTGTATGCAATTCTCGACCTCCCACGATCGTAACTACAGCTGGACAAACAAATTGTTTGTTTTATCATTAATTTTAGCAAATAAAACCAGAAGGAAGTTGCTGCTGAAACTGATTCATGGTTAGGAATTCCATAAAAAGGTGTCTAATGGGTACGGTGGGGAATTGGGAATTGGAAAAAAGACTTTCCCTATTCAAACCAATAGAATTTCAACCGGTATTGGTTGCCTTTCTTATGGCTAAACTCTGCCAACCAGAACGTTCCCCAAGCAGACAGACAGACAGACAGACCGAGAGACACTTCCAGTCTTCCACTTTTGGGCTAATAAATTTGTGCTGTCGCCCGCACTCTAAATACCATAAAATTAGTCATAATTCAGACAAAAGCCGAAAGCCAAAAGGCACAGCCACAGCCAAAACGGCCAATTAATAGATCACTATCCGAGAGCGAACAGCGGTGAACGGTGGCAAACAGCTGCTGTATGGAATGGCAAGCGAATGGGAGACAACTCCCATACAAAATTCGCTGTTGGCAACAATAAATGTGTAAACAAAAAGTAGGAAATGTACTCAAAATGCCAAAAGAACATGTGAAAGGTGATTTGGGTACTTAAGAAACAAAGAATTATTCTTTATAGCAAAGTTTTTAAATCTTAAATAGTTCCAGTACCTCGAGGCATAATTCTAATTCACTTTTCTTGCACGAAAAACAGCTAAGAAAATCGTTTACTTCTCCCAACATTAAACCAATCGTTAATTAGAGCTTCTCCCCCTCTAGGCATATAACAGCTGTCCTTCTGTTATATTCCTTGCCCAAACAGTTATACCCATAAATTGTTATGGCAGCGAATCGAGAGCCTCGCTAATAGAATCGATAAATCGCTCAATCCAGATATGCAAATGCAAAAAAAAAAATGCAGGCAAACAAATTGTGCGATAGCCAAAAGCTAATTGGAAATTCCTGCAGGCAATGGCAGCCCAAAACAAAAGTGAAGGCAACAAACTGCCACAAACAGACACAGAAAGAACTGCAGCAGCAGGCAGCAACGTGGGCGACAGACAACCAGTAGGCCCCAGGTCCGGGAACGCAGCCGGATACACGTATTTATGTGCGATTATACAAGGTATTGACAGGCCACACTTAGAACCCTGGAAACACGGAGACAGACTGCCTGAATGGCTGATGAAATGCCAAACGGATTGTCCATAAGCTTACAGTGAGAGAGAGAGACTATGACATTAATCTCTGCTGCAGACAGGCACATCTTTCGGGGGCTGGCCAATGCATTTGCATGGTCTTGGCAGGGCCCGAGACACACACACGCCTCCACTTCACAGTTCATTGGCGTCGTATGACAAGCCCACCAAGCAGCAGCAGCAGCAGAAGGCAGAGCAGCTCAAGACAGTGACACACCAAGTCTGGCTGTCGGGCCTCCAACACACACACACCCAATGCCAGAGGCAGCGGCAGAAAAAAGAAGGGAAGGCTAGCTGTGGAGATGGAAGCTTTTGATACCCTTGCAGATTGATTGTTCGAAAGAACTTTACAAATTAAGGGAGAACAGAAAGGCAGGTTACGAAAATTTTGCTAGAATCGGAATACCCCTCCACACAAAGCGCTCTCACCTCACTCTCTTTTCAACTTCTCTTTTGCCCTCCAAGCATTTACGGTTAATGATAGCTCTGCTGCTGCGCTGTCGCTGCCGCTGCTACTACTGCAGCTTGACCTTCGAATTGGCATTGCAGACAGAGAGCTGCCTGCTATGAAGAGTGAAAAAACTTTCCAGCGGATGAAATTTTCGAAATTTCAAAACAAGTTCGTTGCCTAAATCTTTTGTTTGAATCAAAGTCGACGTCCAGACGAATTTATGAGGCGAGACAATGCGATGGGAATAAAGCTCGGGGCTGGGGTACGGGGCGGCGTGACCCAGCATGACGCTGGCCTTTACAATAGAGTCATCAGCCCTGATCGGCAACCCCTTCGGAGACTTTTGACTGTTATACTTAATGGGCAAAAAAAACCAGACAGAAAATTTGCTAAAAATAACAAAATGGGCCGCAATTACTGGCAGGCAAACAACAAAAAACACACACACACACACACACAGACACAAATGATGTTAAAAAAAGAAATAACCCACGCGACCAGCAGCGGCAGCATCAGCATCAAAACTAGAGAACAAACGCCCCAGAGGCGGGCAGCAATTTGTTTGTGTTTGTGGAGATGTGGGAAACACTCGAAATTACCAAAAATTTGAGGCGGCTGTCGAAACACAATAATATTAATACACAAACAAAAAATAAATATAATAAAAACCTCAACAGAACAGAAGAGAACCCCAAGAACCCGGCACGGCACCCGGATTCATTATTTGTGGCTCTTATTGCTTGTTTTTTTTGTTATTTGTTATTTGTTTCTCAACAGAGATCTGTGTACGTATATTTAATATTTATTGATTTCGCTGCTGGAGACAGCCGCGGACGGGCATTCATCACGTGCGTCATTTAACAGTTCAATTGATTTGAATATTCCCCTCAACTCTCCTCGTACGATTGCTATTTATAGACTTCTGACTTTTTTTATAACTAAATACTATCTATCTATAGACACCATCTGCTGTAATTATGCGTCCCTAGTTCGTAGAAAGATTGATCAATAAAAAAACCGCTGCCTAAATCTTTCTCCTCCGCTCTCTGACTCATATTCTTTAGTGCAGGCCATTTGTGGGATTACTTAATAGCCTAATGTAAATGCCTCTGCTTTTGGCTTTCTCTTTCCCTTTGGGTCTTTCTCCTTCGATCGATTTAACCGGTCTTCACAGGGCCTTCTAATTGGTGCGCAAGAAACCAAAGCGGATATCGGTGTATAAGCCGAAAGCAATTTGTACTTTCCAATTTATAACAAACAAAATTCCACATTTCAAACAAAAGAATCCGGTTCTAATTCAAGTTGTGGCTTCAGCAGTAATTTGTTACAGTTTATGCCAGACTCTTGGCTATTAGCGGACAACGGACAGCGGACAGCGGACAACAGGCGGACACGCAACGAGAACTCCCCCACAATGCGAATTATTCTTTTTTTTTTTGTTTGCAATGACAGTAATTTATGATATTAATTGGCAATTAATTAAGGAAAGCATAAGATCGCATGACATACAAAACAATGATGATTTGAGGATATTGCTTATCCTCCAAAGTCATCTTTCTTTGGCCTCCATTTTGCGTTGAGAAACCCATTCATTAATTAGAGTTTTCAAACATTGTTCCACTCCCCCAACTCTTTCTGTCTTATTTGTTTGGTTTCTACGCTTTGTTAAACACTGAGTTTGAGATACGTTTTATCTAATTAATGACCTGCGAGAATTAACAACTAAATGGGGGGTATATGAAATATCCAACTTAAACTAGAGATGGCCTGGCAAATATTACGAAAAAACTCTTTACAAGGTATACATTTATTTATAGACAGAAATTGCATTCAAGATCTTAGCTTATGCTGATATATTTACAATTCAAAAAAATCAAATATTTCAGTTAAATGCCAACGATTGTTGCTTAAGTTTAATACTTTAGGAATTTATAGAAGAACTTTAAAAAAATCGTTAAAAAATGTAAATAAAATCCAAAAGGGTTCTGACAAATTTTGTACGTGTCAGCACGCTTTCATCTCTATCAGAAACAGAGCATAACAATAAAACCCTGGCGCGTGGTAAAATAAAAACATTAAAAAAACTTCCACAAGCAAGACAGACAAATTAGTGCCACAAATTAGTGGGAAACCATTAGGAAATTGCTTAGCACTTTACAGATTCTATGCAAAGTTGAAATAAAGAATCAATCCAACAATTTATGACCCGTTGCTGATCGAAACGAGTTCAGCTAAAGTGAAACAGATCAATGACCCACTACAGAGCATCCAGAGATCCAGAACACACCCATTGCAGATAGGGCAAACAATCGATGGGAAGATGCCAAAAATATTCAACGTTCCAACGATTATCCATGCCAAAGTCCAGTTTATGTTTCGAGTGGGAAAAATAGTTAATCAATTAGCTTGAAAATCAAATGAATAAATGTTGTATAATTACCCTAATCTTACGACTGCAGATTGCTCCTTTTTTGCCGCTCCGATTGATCAATTCCATTTCGGTTGTCGCTGCTTTCACTGACAAATTGTTATTAACATATTGAATATATATTTAAAGTTATGGAGGGTTTTTTTGCTTGTGATTTTTTGATTGGTATAAATGTACGTTATACACATTATATTTATTTATTTCTCAGCTTTTGTTGGTTGTTTGTTTTGTGTGCAATGGAAGAAGGAAATGTTTGTAGCAAAAGAAGGAGAAGGTTTGTTTGTAGCAGAAGTATAAGATGTTTTGTAGTAGAAGATGTGTCAAATGTGTAACAAAAAGTATTAAAACCTAATTGAATTTGCATTTGGAAAAGTCCATCTCGGGATGCTGTTGTCTGAATCTGCAAATAAACACCAAAATCAATGAAAAATTCCCAACAAAATTCAAACATTTTGTGTACATACTTTTCAAGTAAATCCTGCTTCTTGCGATCATCGCTGGTGGGCAGACCCATCTCCTTCTGGCGTTGATCGAACATCATCTTCTCGACCGTGCTGCGCGTCTCGCCATCCAAATCGGACAATTTCGATGGCTCTGGGTTGATTTTGCGTGTGGATATTTCGGGATCAGTGGTGACTAGACGATTCCACCAGTTCATTTTGTTGATCTTGTCCAGAGTGATGAGCACCGTCTTGCTGTCCTGCAGCACCCACACGGATTCCTCCTGCTTCACCTCGCCACACAGCTCGCCATCGATGATGGGCTCCTGGCCCTTGAGGCCCACTTTGAGGGTCTTCTTGCCAATGCTGACCACCAGATCGCGGGCACGCAGAGCGAATGTCACATTGAAGGAGATCTTGAGCTGGAATTCAAAAGAGATTGTAGATTGGTAATGATGCGGCACAAAGTGGAGTATACATTGAGATCCATCTTTGTGTAACCCTGCATTGAGTGCTGTTGTTTGTGGAGCTGGAGATTAATGATGAGAGATTGGATCTGTGTGTGCCACAGAGATTCTTTGCTTTGGTCAGTACTCAACCTTGGCTGGGCTAATAATGCTCTATAAATAACTCGAATCGAATCAACACAACTGCAGGCGGCAGAGGCAGAGGCAGAGGCACGTCTCTGCCTTAATCGCAGCTGCAAGATCTGTTTAGTGCCCTTCACCAGATGCAGAGCCTGGGGCTGGGGTCCCCTTTGTCTCAAGGACTGTAACTGGAACGGGAATCTAGTTTAACGGCCACAACCAAGGACGTACAGCGGTTCTTACGCTCAGGATCCGGTTGCACAAAGGAATGCCGTTCGACAGGTTGCTCAGGGCTCAGGCCTGCAGATGGATTTGTGCCGTCTCTGCTGGCCAAGTTCAAAGCAATTACACTGGCGTCTAGAATTATGTGCCACGGCTGGCCATTAATTATAACTCCCATCCCCCTCGCGCGCTGTACAAACATATATTAACACCTTTCCCATTAGCCCCGCCGCTCGCAGCATAATTAAAGCCCAGAGTTATTATTCGACAACCACTGTGCGGCAATCAATTAGCGATTCTCATGTGGCATAAACAATGTGTGTGTGTGCTAAGGTAAACCTTTAATTTAAATCTCACGATGCGGCATTCAACCAAGGACGCGCTTCAGCTTCAGCTTCAACTCCAACTCAAACGCTGCCTGTGTGGGCAGTGTTGAAGCCAAGGCAGCCCAGCACGCGGCCCGTGTCAAGACAGTAGCTAGCGACAGAGACTCCACCGAATGTGGGTTGCATCTTCATCACAAATCACAAATCATATATTTTATCAGAGAGTACAAAAAATGTGTCAAAAGCTGAAACTGAAGCGGATGTCAATTGGTGGCTCTGAAATTTGTTGTACGCGGATGTGAGGCAGAACCAAAAACCAACATCTGGATAGCCATGGACAGCGCCGTGTGGGCATGCGACATGCCACAGAGCAAGCAGCAGACAGCCAGGCAGCTGGCAACAGTAGCAAAAAATAATTTTACATTTTGATTTTGATTGATTTGCAGCGCAAAATTGGGGCAGAAATTAGTGTGAATGAAATGAACGCTAGAACGTTCCTATTTTGTTTTTCTTGCGCCATTTACTTGCAAGAGTAATTCAATTTATTCAAATCTCCGAGCGGCTTGGCTCTTGGCTTTCTATTCTGCACAGCTGAAGGTTATGCAAATGGCAAAAATCCATACAATTCCAATGCTAATTCCAACTAGGAAATTTACACAAAATCACTAGACAAGAGGGAGACACCTAATGCTGTTGATGCAAACTGAGAAACTGAAAAAAACCAACAATAGTCGTTAAGGAGAGGCAGCAGCACAGAGCTAAAGTAAGATGGGAGGCAGGCAGGCAGGCAGCCAGTCCCCCCATGTCAAAGTCAGAGTTCGTTTTTGAGTTCAGTGAAGGTGTCGTCGTGCATGAATTAATTAATAATATAAGCAAATATTGATGACTGTCAATGCTGTGGACGAGACCTGGCACATGGCACACTTATCGCCTAGAGAGAGAGAGAAAGAGACAGAAAGAGGCGACACGCAAGCAGACGACCAACTGTCTGACAGTTGGCAATTTTATGCAAATTCTCTCTCGCCACGCCACACACTCCCCCCCCCCCCCCCCCCCCCCCCCCCCCCCTCTCTCTCTCTCTCTCTCGCTAATCAATCATTCCGTCTGCACCAATTCGGTCTCTCTTTTGGTCTAGCCGGCTGTCCCACTCTAGCACACCTAACGCCACCTTCGCTTCTCTCTCCTGCGTTTGTGTGCTTGCGTGTGTGCTTGCGTGTGTGTGTGTAAAGTGAAAGAGATCTGTCCGGCTTGGCCTGCTGCCGTTTTAACAGTTTTAAGTTCCTCTTCTTCTGCCCGGGCCATTGATTAATTCTATCAAATTTGCCAACAAAAAAAAACACATTTCATTTTCTTTAAATAGTATATCTAGTCGAGCCGCGAGTTTAATTTATGCTAAAAGATGCGATGCGGTGCCAGGCACCACCGAAAAAAACCATCTCCAACAACATACAAAAACCAATAGCAGCCACAGCAACAGCAGCCAGCAGCCAGCAGCGACAACAACAAAAAACAGAAAACCATTTAAGAAAAAAACTAGAAACGTCTCGGGATTGCGGTTGCCGACGGTTAAGATGCTCTACTAGAACCATCAAAGCTATGATAAAGTCATTCCATTGGTTGGAATAACTGGCGAAAAATGTTCGATGCATAAACCACCGTCATCTTTGGTATGAAATCTCTGACTGTAGCAAAAAGAAGGGGCCCGTCCGCCCCTCCTTTTTCTGTTTCGTTTGACAAAACCGAAATACCTCTTGGAAGGGTATGCCAAACAAAAACTAGCTTCAATAGATTTCAAGTATGCGGAGTGCCCATGCCCGAGGAGTACGTGTGTGCCAGTGTGTGTGTGTGTTCGATCGAAGTGCTTTGTATTCGATAATGTTATCAGACAAAACAGCTGAGACAGACACTCATAAGCAGACGGTGAAGTCAAGCCGCTGTAGAAGGCCAGGGCATACCTCATTAAAAGCGGCTTAAACTTGAGCTTATTTGTGGGCCAGAAGTGGAGTAGATAGAGAACAGCAGACAGAGCACAGAGCGTGGCAAATTATTATTTGTTTGCTCTAATGTCTGATTAGAACACCAAAAAAACTAGTTCCTACTCGCAGGGAATGCCACAAACTCTGATCCGCTACCGTAACCATGCCCGCAATGAGAGAACAAAATCTCTTGAGAGTGTGTCCGTATTGACATTTGCCTGGTACAGCAGGCAGGCAGGCAGGCAGGCAGGCAGGCCAGGCAGTCAGTCATCCATCTGGTAGCTGCTCTAAGCGGATTACAAAACATAACAAAACAAAACGATATTCATCCGGTTAACCCAGTCAATTTGTTTTGGGGTGCGGGGATATTCCCAATACAAAAGATTATCTTTGTCCATCAATTTAAATTCAAATAAGTTCTAAGATCTGAGCTAGAACTGAAAGTTCACATCTTCATGAGCTAAATAAATTATAGAAAAGAAATCTTTGCAGCCAGAATTTATAGTTCCTTCCAGATTTGTGCATAAATCAACTGAAATTGAAGATTGCTTTTAGATCATCCTGCCAGCCCATAGGTTATGCAAGTTCTGGGTGTTCTCTGCATTGATAGATCTTTCTGGAACTTCCCTAACTTTTAACAAAACTGTCAAGATCTCTAATCAGGAAACCAAAAGCGGATCTCTAAAGCAGTTCATTTACCCAGGGTTCTTTGTGAGGTTCCACTCATTGTTCTGTGGCTTTGTTTGGGGCTCGCCTTTCTGCTTGAACCCCACCAAAGTTGACTCTTTTTTGTGTGATTTATAGGAGAAACCCATTAAAGCGTTTTATAAGCTAAACAGGTGTGAAACGGACAAATAAAAGATCACTTTTCGTTTATACAACCTGCAATTAGAGGCTCTATAGATATAACCGATGCTCACTGTCAAACCGCCTGACGTGATGAGGTATCATCACATGACATTAAGAATTTCCGTCAGGAATGACTCAGTTCTCTAGGAATTTTTGCCAACCAAACCAAGGAGCTGCCTCAAGGCAGAAGAATCACAAAATTCGCCAAATTGTTTGCTTAGCTAAAAGCTATAGCTATCTGAATGAAGAATTATACTAAAACTTTTAATAGAGGCAATCAGCAGAGAGGGCCCCGAGGGCTCAAACAAGACAAAAAGTCACATAAGCGTGTCATACGTCAACGGCAGCCATCCATGGCCCCGAGGGATTTCCCCGTTTTGAGCGATATCATATCTTCCATCAATATTTTTAGATATTTCTCTAATCCCAATTGTTGTCACCCAAAATGGAACAGAAATCGAAACGAATATCGAAGCTCTTCGAGCGTCACTCTGTTCGATTGCTATTTTGCATGCTTAATTATATGCATAAAAAGATCTTTGTTTATTTGTGTTTGGATCTTTTTTGGTTGGTTGCTTGGTTTTTTTCCTGATGCGATGTGAATGTTGTTGATTCTATTCAGGGGGAATGGTTCCGAATGGTTCTGCGATCGATCTATAGCAAGTGTTTTTTTTTTTTTTTTTTTGATTCGGCCTCTCGCCTTTGAGTGCCGCCCGTCCGTCCGTACCTCAATCTTCCGTTCAAGTGATCTCCATCGCTATGAGGTTGTCCCGTGAGCGCTTCACCTCTATCCAATCTCGCTTAGTGTAGAGTACATTGGCCGCTCCGCTGGTCTGTTGCTCCGTTGGTAACCTGGTAACTGGCCGTGTCAGGTAATCTTTGTCAACGCGCCTGATTAAAGCGACAGACGGCATCTCACTTCACATCGCACAGCAAAAACCGAAAGCCCAGCCAAAAATCAAGCGCTTTGGGAACAGGCAGGCGGCACGGCAGGCCACTCACTTGTCTCACTTAAAAGGTGATAACAAGATGCTCGACACAGCAAAAACTAAGCACCAAACACAGTAGAATATCTGGTGTTGCCTTTCGAGCAGCAGCAGATGACAGATGGGAGGTCTCTGGACAAAACCTTAAGTCAACAATAAAGTGTTGCCAGTGTAATGGGTTCTATTGGGGATTTTTGTGAATTTATTTGTTTGTTCAAGCGATTCTCCCAAGGGATTATTAGTTTCATGATATTATGACAAGTAATTAGATATAGATCTAGAAAAATAAACAATGTTTGAAGTGTTTTAGAAGGGGGGAGGGTAAACTTGGGTAAAATTGAACTTTGCGTTCAATTCAAATTAATTCCATAAACAAGTTCAACACTTGAGAGAGGCTTATGGGTAGAGATCATTTTACCCATAATTCATCGATAAAGATTTTTGCATTTTGTTGGGAACGGGAATCTGGGAATGGGCATCTGTTGATGCGTTGATAAGCAGCTTTTGTTCTCCCGTTTGACGTTAATACGCGCTTTCTGAGAATACAAAATTAGCCAAAAATAGACGCCCAGTGAAATAACCATATAAATAATGGCCCATGATATTTATAAGACCATCAAATGTTGAGTTAATAACAAATATGGCATCCATCATATGATAATGAGCCATGAACAAACGGTACTACATACAGCAAATGGATGGAGCATCGTATCATCGGTCAAGGTTTGCCCTTAATTAAGTAAACATTAAATTAGAATGATGTTTGCTGATGGGTTTTTCCCACAATCAAAATTGGATTTCGGCACGGATCTAGAAAACGCCTACACATCGGCCGGCCCAGTGTACAAAAAAAACCCACGAAGGGCCCTTCAAAGAAGAACAAAGCTAAGCGGAATACATGGAAACATGGATTGCAGGTTAATGAGTATCAGAAAAAAAAGGGCGGAGGCAGAGAAATGAAAGTAGGCAAAAGAACAAAGAGAGAGCAAGCCGATGGATGAGCAGATGATGTGTTCAAACATTCAAACATCAAAGACAAAGATCCGCAACGAAACGAGAGTAAAGGAGCTGACCAAAATCAAATTAGAAATTTACGGAATGGAATGGATAAATATAGCCATAGAGCACCCCCCACAGAACGACGACGACATGTTATGACATGCAAAATCCGGCAAGAAAGTCACCAGATACAGAGGAAGAGGCAGAAGCAGAGGCAGAGCCAGAGCCGGAGCTTTGCGCAACGCCAACAGAAGCAGCGACAGCAACAGCAACAGCAACAGCGACTGAGACGCCAAAAGCTTTGCTTTGCGTCGCTGCTGCGAGACGGCCAGGCCTGCCAAGTCGAACTTCATTTCAATTCTAAAAGCCGTTAAGATCGGTTCTGTTTGCGGTACGCGAAGCAGGCGAAATAAGAGGCAGAAGATCCCAAAAGCGAAACGAGATCGTGACTGAGATAAGGAGAAGCGAACAGAGCTCAGCCAAACGGTTTCCCCAAACAGCAGCTGCTGCCGAATGTCAGCTGAGTGTTTCGCGAGCCTCACATCATCGTAAATTAAGCATTTAAAAATATCATAAAAGATATATTTAATTAAAGATCCGCCACACACTGCACCGCGAGAGACAGACTGACAATCAGAGCAAGACTCTGCTTACAAATACCTGAGATTGTGATACTAATTAATAATTAAATATTGTGTGTGCCTGTGTGATAAATTGTTGAAATAATAAAGCAAGTAATTAGAGACGAGAGCATAAATACAACACAATAAACAACAAATTAATACAAGAAGTAAGTAAAGTAAAGTAAAGTAAAGCGTTCACAAAACGCAGCACACAGCCGATTGTGTGTGAACACAAATCCCAATCACAACAATCACAAAACTCCAAAAACAAAAAACTGGCAAATCAAGTTGAAGAAATAAATTGTGGTGATAAGACTTCCGCATGCCTAAATAATATTTACAATAAATAAAACGCAAGAAGCAGCACGGCGGACACACACATTTATGGAACTTCTGTTCTTCGTAAGCCCCACAAAAGCAAACACACACACACACAGACAAAAATGAAGCGCGTCAAAGAAGAGAAGCAAGACACAAACTTGAATTGCAACTTTTGTGTGTGTGCGTGTGTGTTAGGCAAATTGATTTCTAGAGAACATTGACGCTCCACAGAAATTGAATTAATTGCAACAATTAAAGCCGAAACCATTAAAAGAGAAAGGCTGGAACAAGGGCAAACAAAACAGCAAACTGTCCCCTTGTCATCCCGAAAAAAAAGGCAGCAACAATAACTAGCAGAATTAATAATAAATAAATATAAAATCAGGCTTTTAAGCAAACCAGAGGGCCATAAATTTCAAACAAGTTGATGGCAAATGCAAACGAAGAGGCGAAGACAACTCGAAAGTTCAGTTTTTTTTTTTGTTTTTGTGTGAAGTCGTCTTCTTTTATGTAAAGCTCTGAGGCCAAACGGCGAAGAGCAAAGAGCAAACAAACCAAACTGTTCTAGCGGTAAACGCGGGGAACATGCAGACAAAAGCCAAAAGTCTTCAGGAGAGAGAGTAAAGCGAGAGAGTGCAAGACAAGCTTTTGCTCTCAGGGACACTCTCCTTTCTTTCTTTAACTGTTATTCCTTGCACTCGCAGTTCCGTTCTTTTCATGCACTGCCATTTGAAGCTCAGACAAATACTAAACGCATATATTGCTATCCCTCTCTTACAGATGCAGGACTATTGGCACATTCCACGCGCCTCGCTGGCCTCCTCCAGCAGCTCGGCCATCAGTTCGGCCAGCTCCTCAAAGTCATCAAACAAATCGAATTCCAGTCCCCCCACACTGGCGCAGCGCAGCCACCAACAGCAACAGCAGCAGAACAGCGGCAGCAGTAGCAGCGGGAAGCCAACAAGTGCGACAAGTGCTGCCGTAACTGCTGCGGCGGCGGCAGCAGTGCTGGCAGCAGCCAAACGTGGATCGCGCAGCTCTCAGGGCTCCAGTGACAGCAACAACAGCACGCGGGTGAGTAAGCGACGCGGGTTGCCCCCACGTAGGCGGATACACGAGATCGGTGTGACTCACGTTGAAACATTCTCTTCTACTTATAGAGCGCTGCTTCCGGCTCCCTGCTGCTAACGGCAGCGAATCTGGAGCGCTTCGCGGAGATCCACAAGAAGCAGGAGCGCCACAACAAGATGCTGATGAGCAGCAGCACATCGCCCAACTCCTCATCGGCCAACTACAATGCGAATCTGGCTTTGGCCAGCAACGGCAACAGTTCGGGCAAGGATGCAGTGATTGCCATTGATGGCCATGATGGAGCAGAAGCTGACCCAAATTTGCATTATATCAAAACCAAAGACCTCGACACCGTGTCCATTGCCAGCTCCATGCACTTTACAATGGTCAACGGCGACAATGGACCCCCAAAGAAGCCCAAGCGTGGACTCTGCGATCGTGGACGGCAGGTCACAGTGCTGATTGTCAGCATGAGCACAATCTTTATGCTGCTCATCATGGGCATGGTCTATGCGCTAGAGAGTGAGTTCTAACTTGGTTTTCGAATCTAAACTGAATACTAATTTATTTCCCTTTTGCAGTGCGTGCCCGAGATATGCCCAAGAGCTAATGGGGTGTGGGTTCTGTCTTTCCACGAGAGTAATCCAACTCCTCCACTTGCTAGCAAATTAGTTTATTATTATTTATTGTCTTGTATTCTGCTATGTTTTGAGCCAAGCCCCCAATTATTATTGTTATTGTGTCGCCTTTGAGCTAGTTGTGTAAGCTATTTATTAAACAATTGTTTGGAGAGTCAGTTGAAGCTCGGGAAATCGTATCGGAAAATCGTTGCGCCCACGGACACACACACGCACACGCACACGATGCTAGTATTAAGACAGAGAAATATGCAACAAAATGGAAGCATGGGTTGTATTTTCTGGTTAACAATTAAGTTATTTATCCCTGTGATATGTTTAATAAAATGAATTTTCTATTTGTAAATCGCATTGGCCCTTTCTTTCACACACACCTGCCGCCAGAGGTCAATGGCCAATGGCAGCCCCTAGCAACGCCCTAGCAAAAACAACAACAACAAACCCCTCACTGGGTCAACAGCAGCGGAAGAAGGGGCAGGGCAGGCGGTAAAACTTTTGCTCAAACTCACCTCCACCTCCTGCAGGGTCTGCGTCCACATGTACTTGTCCAGGGTGCAGCCATTGCCGGCATTGGGCTGCAGCTTGCCCACCTCCGCCTTCTCGGAGTCATCGTCCACTTTTTCTATGGGCTTGGATACGTCGTCGAGATTCTCAGTGGCTGCGCCGCCAGCTTTGTGCAGCAGCTGCTGGCGTTTTCTAGAACACAAAACAATACGCAAAGTTAAGGGGAATCTAATCAGAAGGCCAGGAAGCCATCGCCTTACTTGTCCTCCTCCTCTTTAATAATGGCCGCTGCTTCCTCATCGGAAATATCACAAATTTTGTTAGCGTCGATTTCCTTTTGGCGTGCCTCACGCTCCACGCGCTCCTTCTCCTTCTTGATGCGTTGAGTGGCCTCGCGGGCCTTGACTTTTTCGGCGTGCGCCTCCATGGCCAGTGCCGACTCCTTGCGAAAAATGTCCAGCAGCAGTTTCTCCCATTCCGACTGCTTGGCGCCTGTGTAGAAATCTGTCTTGCGACGCAAAAAGCTGGCCATTGTGTGGAGGAACTGTAAAATAAAGCGAGAATTGGTTAAAAAAAGAAACAAAGCAAGGCACAACGAGATATTCCATGAAACACGCTGCAGCAGCGTTGTGGGTACGGGGTCTTACATCGGGCACGCCACCGCGGTGCTTCTCTGCCACGGCCAGTAAAATGGAGTCAAACTTTTCCTCTTCTCCAGACATTGTGCTAGCGATATTCTTAACTGTTGTAACTATTGTGACAAGTTAAATTCGTTCAATTTCTGGATGTTTCGATTTAAAATTCTGATTTACACATGGGCACATGAGATCCAGTGTGACCGCGGACATATCGGTCAAATACACCGCACTACCCTCAATAATATACCACAAGCTGGATAAAATATACTGCATTATATACTGTCTTAAGACTAGTCAGCCATTCTAGAGGGATACCAGTAACATTGGTACACACAATTAGCTCAGAGCTGTAGTCCGGACTCTATTACCCATTTAGTTAGGCAAGCTACCGATAATTGTCCAGCTCAGCAATGCAACAGTAGTCCGATCAAATTTACCGCCTGCCCGTCAGATATTATACCGATATTGTCGGTATTTTTGTGCGATAAGTGTATTGGCGATAAGAATCGAACTTCTTTGCCGCCCCAACGTATGCTCCACATATGTATTCGGGTCTTTAAAGTGAACGCAGCGAAAATATATATTAAAAATCAAAATTGAAGTGCTGAAAGCATAATTTAAATTTGCAAAGTGCTTTCGTGGCGTGAAAAATCACAAAGTTCTAAAGTGCTTGTAGTGCTGAAGAAGTTACAAATAAAAACAGTTTTATCTGAAGCTTAAAGTATGTAAATGAAAAAGAGTTTTGTGTCTAATTTATTCGTGCCGCCGCTGATGCAGTGATAAAAAAGCGATATAAAATAGCAACTAATTCACACACAAACAGTAATAGTTGGGGAAATGGATAAGAACGCAATACGGAAAGAGATAAAAGCGTAGGAGTTGCTCTGCAAAAATCAATACATATTACATACCTACAGACACACTCACACGCAGTCATACTCCTCTCACTCGTATACCTCAAAAGCGGGAGTGTGGGAAGAAAAGGCAGCAGAAGCACAAGAGCAGGAAGAAGTAGAAACGCATGCTTGCTACTCTTCCATCCAAGAACATTCTCTCTAAGCAACAGTGAAGTGCATAAAATTAGAAACGTTCCATGGAGATGCTCAAGATTTTTGATCTGTTGAATGATTACGTGAACTTGTTTGATTGAAAAGCAATTGTAAATGTGTACACCGTTTTTTCCATTCATAAACTCAAGTAAGAGTGGACTTATTAGAATGACCGGCACTGTGGCTTTGCTGCCCTGCCGCAAACTTCTCGCTCTTGTCGTTGTCGTTGCCGTTCTACTGTGTATGTACGTTTGTATGTGTATGTTTGCCGCCTGCCGGGAATCTCGTTTCGCTATTTCCTCCCCCCTCACCCAACGCACCCTGGTGGTTCTGGTGCTCTGTGCTCCACTGCAGACCAGACCACAGCTGCTTTTCTTGCTCCGCTTCAAGGTCAGTGTAAGGTTAGGGCTCTGCTCTGCCTGCGAGATATTCGAAGATAAACGAAGGGCCGTGGACCATGGCAGTGATTTCTTTACAGTGGGCTCCATGGCAACAAAGTGGCCTGTAAAAAGGAAAGCCACAATAAATGAATCAACAAACTGCCACAAATTGTTTCCTTAATGGGTGTGGTATCAAATTTAATGACCGCCTCTGTGTTTGCTTTTCCTTTGTTTAGGATTTTAGTTCTAAGCAAGCCATATTCAATAGAAGAGTGTTCTTGATTACATTCCTCCTCTCATCTTTTTCGTTTGTGTGTGGGCGTCAAAGTTTTGCTTGTCTACGTCACTGCCCTTTGACATTTACAACACTGCTGCGCTCTCTGCGTCAGCTTCCGAGCCTGTGTGTGCGTGTATGTTCTCTCCCACTCTCTTACATAACAGTTATGTAATCAGCAGAGCAGCGCATTTCCTCGTTTGCACACTTTTGCCACTCTCCGAGGGTCTTTTCTCGCGTCAATTGTCCCTTCAATTTAAAGGATAACATGCTGTGCTTAGTCTTATTGTCCTTTACTGTTATCCCAAGAGCTAGGCAAGCACTTCAAAAGGATTGTAGAAGGCTTTTGAGCAAAACAATAGACTCAAGAGGCTCGAGCAGAGATGGTGGCAGATAGTGTGAACTTAAGCCCTCTCTCTTGCAGTTAAGTAAGAGCAAAGCTCTCTCTCTCTCTCTAAGCTTATCATCTATGAAGAGAATGAATGAACAACATTCCCCTTTCGCCGTTTTCATTGCACATGCCATTAAATTCCTAACTGAAATTGGATACGAATTGCCGTGGTTCGCGGTGGTTCTCGGTGGCGCCGCAGGTTGTTGCGGTTTACCGGTTCAGTGATTTTCCAATTGCGTCGCAGCCTCAAAGAGAGTAGGTTGGTAGTTTTGGGGAGGGGATCATGGAAACAATTACGATAACAAAATGTTGCTTCGGGCCCCAGACATATTGTTTGATCAATTTCAGAACTCAAGTAACATTTTGATTGATTCTCTATCGCTAGGATTACCCATAGTTTGCCTGATAAGCCTTGATGGGGAGTCGAGTCCCGAGGTCTTTTATATATACAAACAGGTAGCACTCAGACCTCGAAACCAGGTACCTGACTCCCCACTGGGCTCCCCTCTTTAATTTACTTTGGAACACACAACTGTATTTACCTACCCCAAAAGTGCAACGCCAACGTGCTCTCTCTCTCTCTCTTTCGGTCTCCCATCTGGAGGCAGCTTTCATTGGAAACTAATGCAAATTGCGACGTTGCTTGTTTATGGGCTGCCAACTGTACCCTCGCCACTTAATTAGCGAAGGGGAGCATGGAGCAGGGGTGTGGTCCCGCACCTTTTGCCATAAATAGCAAACAGCTGCGATATATAATATCGGTGCATGGGCATGGGTATCGTCATTCCATATGCCAACCCCCCATTCGTTTGTTTGAACGAAATTATAAACCAGATAAACAATGTTCCTTAAGTTTCAGTCTATCGTAGAGTAAACATATCAATGAAATTTATAAAATACGTTATTAAATTACATCATTGGAATGCGTGGAACTTCCATTTTTCATCACTGAAACTCTGAGACTGTAAAACATAAGAAGTTAATGCTAATTGATGGACTGTTAACGCTTCTCAGACACATATCGCACTTTGGGCCGACTTTCAAGTTTAATTAGCTAACAAATTTTAGCTTTTGTGTACAATGCTGTTTGGAGTATTAAGGCAATACCATAATAATCTTCTTTTGAATTATTATTAAATCTGCCCATACAGATTCAGATTTTCATCCCATGGCTGTGTGGTCCCACTGTGCAAGTAGTTCCAGATAAAACAAAAAATAGTTCAACGTGTAATGCCAAAGCGCAATAAAAAGCAAACCACAAGGCGATGAAGGGGGTAGAGATTCCATAATTAAACAAACAACAACAAGAAAGGCAAGCCAGTGGCGATAATGAAAACCAATTGTTACTATTTTTAAACAACCTTTTTTCCCTGGCTAATTGAGGCGATATCCCTTGCGGAATCCCCCTTCTTGCTTCTCCATAAAACAAAGTAGAGTGGACCCCACTTCAAGTACCACGATAAGCAGAGGCAGTGCGGGTCAGATAGTGGACAATGCCCGGACTATAGCCAGCCCTAAATTTGAACATAAATCGCAGAAAAACAAAGTTTATAGCGGAAGGAGCTACTGGTTCTATTTATATTTGTACAAGACAGGGATTTTCGTTTGAAGGCTAATGCTAATGGCTTTTCTATTGGTCTATTGGTTCGAGCCTGACACACATTAGGACCGCTGATGATTATCCTTGAATAATGGCCCTCTGGCATGCCCAAAACATTAACCTACCGCACGCAACGTTTTCGTTATTTACTTTTTGTTCGGGGTTATTGAAACTTGTTGCGATTCTTGTTTACATTATAATTATATATTATAGAACAGCGATACGCACACACAGAAATATCTCTGCATACAGATACATATCCCCCCAAAGTAGAGATGTGGGCCACGCGCGGCTGCCGCGTTTTCGGACTTTGCACCAACGCAATGGAAACGGTCGCTCCTCCTCCTCTCTCTCTCTCTCTCTGTGTTTATCATTCTCTCTCTGTGTTCTCCCGATCTATTCTCAGGTTGAAAGTCTGCAGACTTGTTTGCCATATGTACAATATTGGATTTCTTTGCTTTATTTTCTCGCCGCTTCAGTGGAAGTCCAAATATTTGTTTTGAGTTGCGAGCCAAGTCTAGATTCTGGGATTGCTGGCTAACTGGAGAACAGGGTGTCCCATTTCCTTCTCTTAGCTAAATGTCAAAACAATTTGTGAAAAGGTGAAAAATAATTGCCATTGGAATTTATGCTCTCAACGTCATTTATACGTTAAGTGAAATGTGTATATTCTGATCTGAAAATAGATTGGTTTTTGTGACGCATTTTGGTAGAGTTATGCAAGGAGAACGGAACTGAGATGAACGTGCAGACAAATATCAATCCAAATGATTGATAGAGACATGTGAAGAGTTAATCGGTTAAGAGTATTTCGAGAGCTTTATCTACAAGATTTATCTACAAGATTTTTGGCTACTTTTCGTTAGCCCCACAAAGATATCTGTTTTTATTCAAGTCACGCCAAAAAATGTTGTTCTATTCTTTTGTGGGGGGCCAATGGTTATCTTTTTCATAAATCTCACTGCCAAATTCAAGACACTTGAAGTTTGGTCAAAACTTTCCACTGTGCCTGTGCCTGGTGCCATTCGGGAGCTCAATCTTCCAGCTACGTCACGTTCCATGTTTCCCATAGGAGCGTTGCTTATCGGCTGTTCGGGCATTACGCATTCAACCAGAAATCGCAACGTATTAATAGCACTTTCCTCTCCCAATCACGCATGCAAATCGTGAATAATTCTTCCCCCCAATGGAACACCGATAATCTTCCCCCACTGGGTAGGGAGGAGGCTTGCAGGAAAGTTCAGTGTGCCATTAGATTCTTGGCTGTGCCGCTCGTGTCGTGAATGAATCTTATCTAAGGTTTGTGGGGAGCCGGTACGGGTTGGGGGGCAGTGGCGGTGAGACGCCAAAGATTATTAACAAAAAGAGCACATCAAATAATGAAAGAGCATGTTTGCCTTCCTCTTGCCGCTGCCTCAGTTGCAGACACTCGATCGGCACATGTTAAATGCCTGATACTGAAAGAGCTACCAAAAACAAGAAAAGAGTCTAATAAAAAGTCAACA